AAAAAAGTTTAAAGATTCTGTATCTTTTGCTTCCTGGATAATAAAAAGAATGTTATTAATATGAATATTAAATTTCATAAAAATAAAAAATAGAAAAAACTAAAAAGAATATCTTAAACATAATTTATTGCTACGAATATGAGAATGTTCTTAAATATAATACTTTTTAAGTATAAAAGTTTTATAATAACGAAATTAATCTTAAAATTGTTTAGAATAAGTTAAAGTATCCAAGATAATAAGTAAGAAAAATGTAAGAAAAATATAAGAAAATTGTATATTATCATTTTATTATATATACAATAAAAGGTATAAAAATATAACTTATAAATATGTATAAGTATGCTTTATAATATATTAGTATCATGAATATATGAGAGTAATAATTTATATTATATATAAAATTATAAACACAATTTATTAGTATATATTTATTCCGGATATTATATATATATTTTTTAAAAATATTTTAATCATAATAAAAATATAATAATTATATACAACTGTATGAGCAAGCTTTTTTTATATAGTAATATAATTACTATTAAGTAAATTGGTAATAATACATAAATAAGCTAAATATATATTTTTTTAATATTATTAAAATAACATAAAAATACATAAGTATGATATATCTTATTATAATAATAAAAATATAAATAAGAGATAACTATGGAAACATTTATAATAATTATTACTAAAAGCATTTAATACTTTTTATTTTTATAATAAATATGATAATAATAAAAATGGACTACATCCAATATAAAAATATTTAAAAGTATATTATACAAAAATAGTTTAATAAAATATAAATATAAATAATATATTTTAAATTATAAAAATTAGCTTCATTATAAAATATGAAAAAGTATATTATTTATAGTAAAAAAGTTTATATAGAACATAACATATATTTATTTTTAAAAACGAATTAACTTTAGAAGAGTCGGTTATAATAAAATATTGCACATTAGAAGGTTCCTTCACAAGTTTTGATGAAAGTAAAGAAAAGAAAGAAACCAACATCTGCAAAAATAAAAAAAATAATTAATAAGTCTAACAATATTGATTATAAACGTCTTATTATTAATAATATATATATATTAATTATATAGTAAAGTTTATATAAAATTAAAACTTATATTTATTAATAGAAAATAAAATACGATATCTTATTAAAAGTAGAACTAAAAAAAAATAATTAATAGCAAGAATATAAAATTATAAAAGATAAATAAAACTATAAAACTTATAAAATTAATAATAAATTTAGAAAACTAATAAGTATGTTGGTAATGTTAAATAAAATTAAAAAAATTAAAAAAGTTCCTAAAATATATAAGTTTTATAAAAATTATAATTGCTATCAAAAAGCTTACAAATAAAAAAACAAAGAAAGTACAATAAAAATTATAATAAATTTAAATATATATATAAATATTAAGGTTAATAAAATAAAAATCTTCATTTCTAAGCAAACTTTCATAATAAACACTAAAAAAATTTAATAAAACAAATTACTGTAGTAATTAGTATGAAAATTAATATCATTTATATTTATATAAAGAATAAACAATAAGTATTAACAAAGAAATATTGCGTTAAAAATAAAAAATAATATAAAATAATACTAAAATAAATAGTAAAAAAAAGTTCATAAAAATAAACTATAATACGAGCATATACTAAAAGAATATAAAAGGTCAAGAAAAAAATTGAATATCTCAAATATTGTAAATAATATATTATAAATATATATTAAATTGAATGATAAAATAAATAAAAAATACATACAAAAGTTTTTAAAAAAACAATATTCTTAATAAAAAATAATTAATCTAATAAAGAACACAAAGCTATTAAAAAAGTATATTGATTATGAAAAGTATCTAATAAAATATAAAAATATTAAAAATATTGTAATTATACAACGTAAAGAAATAAATAATTAATTACAAAAAGAGAAAAAAGTTCACAAGCATTTATTAAAAAAATAAGTATAAGTATTATACTTTTTTTATTTTATTAAAAATAAGATAATATATATTCACTTATAATTATATCATCATAATAACAAACGTTTTATTTTTACTTACTAAATTCATAAAGTTGATTATTGTAAATTTTACGTTATAAAATTATTAGAAAACTAATTAATGTTTGAAAAATATGAAAAATAATATGAATAAAAAAAAATTTTAGAAAATTGAATATGGAAGTAAAAAAAATTAAAAAATAGTAAGAAAATAATAAAACTAGTTTCATGGTTAAAAAGTTATTGCCAAAAAAAATTAACAAAAATAATAAAACTGCCATCTTTTTTACTAATCTCTTTGATTAAAAGTTATTAATAATATTGAAAATTGTTTATAGTAATGTTAATATATTTACTCGTAAAAATATCAAAAATATATAAAAAACTGTTTTTTTGGTAAAAAAGTTATTAAAAAAGGTAAAAAATAAAAATAAAACAGAATTATTAATAATTTATTATTACTATAATAATAATAAAGTAAAAAAAAACTTCCAACTTTTTGTTGATACTTTATATATATATATATAGTTTACATAAACAAACACAATAATTATAAATATAAGTACGTATCCTTGCTGTACATTTTTGTTATTACTATTATTATACTAATAATTGTTATAATAGAAGTAAATATATGAAACATTAGAGTTACTTATAAATAATTTTATATCAAAGTTAAAATAATTATAAATATTACTATTACAAAATTTATTAGTAAAAAAAATAATATTATGTAATACCAAATAAAAAATTATGCAAATAGTACAGATCGTTCTTTATATTTAATAATAGTACTTAAAAAAGTTTTTATAAATTATATAATAAATATAAATGACGTTTTACTTATAAATACATAAAAAATTAAAATTTTTTTATAAACTATAATACTAATAATAGTTTTGAAAAAGATAATTAATATAAAACAATATATTTACTCATATACAATTTTTCTACTATCAGAGTTATAAAGTAATATGTATTATAATAAGAAAAAGTAATAAAAAAAAATAGGAAATACTTTTTTTAGAAAAAATTAGTGAAAAAAATTTGTAATTTAAAAAACCTTCTCACTTATTATTATTATTTTTTAATAATACATAGAAATATTTTAAAAATAAAAATAACTTTATAAATAAATATAAACAAGAAAAGTTTGTTATAGTTTTCTACTTCATCTGATGCGCTGTTCCTTTTAAGATAATACGACCGCATCAGTTTTCTTAGAGGACGATGAACCTTAGGAATAAAATAGTAAAGTTAAGTAAAACTAATTTAATAGTTTCTTTTATACAAATACATAAAAAAAATATTTATATTATGCATATAGAAAGTTAATAAGGCTTATGTAACTACCTAATAATATGATTATATTTTAAAAAATTTTTAAGTCAACGGTAAAATTAAAATCAAGAAAGAAAGTGTTTATACTGACATATAAAAAATTTAACACAATAAATATGATAAGGAACACAAAAGCAATAAGAAATCATAATAACTTCCAACATTATAAAGTAAAAACAAAAATATGAAGCGCAGGAATGTAAAATTTAGAAGTAACTCATATTATGTAAGAAATTACATGGTAATCGCTTAATTATGCTTCTTTAAATAGTACTATACTTTTAACTTTTAAAATGCTTTTCATTTATTCATATAAATTTTTATTATTACGGTTTCGTAGGATATTACGCTATAGTGCATTCCCTCTACAAAAGAAAAAAAAGTTTGAAATGCATAAAGTTTCATTCCTTTTGGAATCTGAAGTTAAATATATGAAAGAAAACTTTTCATAAATCTCTAAAAAGAACAGTTCAAACAGGAAAATAAAATTTATTACGTCTCTAGAGCCCATTAGAAAAAGAGAATCTAATACATTATTTTTTACTAAATAATTTAAAATGGGGACATTGCTGTTCTGTGTAGTTCTTAAATTTGTTATTATTATTGGTTAAAAAATAGAAAAATAAAGTCTTTCACCTTTTTCTGTCCTCTTCTATGAGAAGAGTCATCATTTTACTTAAAAGTTCAGGAAGTTTAAATTCAGAAGACATTTCTTCCTCAGCAAGAGCATGCTTATAGCAATCCAATATTTTCATCCAAGCATTAACAAATTCTTCCAAAGGTGAAGGGAAAGAAGGAGCAAGCTATAACATAATATATTAATTTCAAAGTTCCAAAAAGTTCACAAAAGTAACTTAAAGTGATTGGCTTAAGTAAAAATTTTTTTATTGACTAAAGTAAAAAAAAAACTCTTAGAGCCGAAGCATGAGAAGGAAAGAGGCATACTATCTCTGTTGCCTGTTCCAACACCGAAGAAGCACGTTGAATTACGTTATTTGCAAAATCTGTTAAACCAAATCTGTTCCACATTTTGTTTTCTTAGTACTTCAAAATATTATTAAACCCTTTTTTATGAGGGAGTTAAAAACTTAATAAGTCCTTTAGCTCAAAGTCATTAGAAACAATTTTTATAATACAGCGTTAATTTTTTCGAAACTAACACACCATATTCATCCAATGAGACCTTTTAAATTTTTTTCCTATTATAGTTACTCCTATCCGGTCTTTAAACATCTTTTAAACGCTTACTTTGTATGACTATAATAATGTATATATAACTCTAAAACAATTTCCAAATCTTAATATTTAAAAAAGAGTTAAATTATAGTTATCTGACATACTTTTACTAGGCGAAATTATTAACGGATGTATCCTTCCATAAGAGTTAGATAGACCAATTATTTGAAATAATATAATTCCATACTACGCTAGAATTAATTGGAATTCTTTGTGTTATTTCAAATAATTTGCAAACTTTAAACTTTCTTTTACAGCCCTATTTTTTGTAGGTAAGTGAAAAAACGTGAAATTATTTATTACCGATTCTACACTTCCCTTGGGCCCACGCGATTGCTTATAGAACAGTAAAACTTAGGATAATTTTTCGCTCAGGCTCGTACTGACTTTGGCTTGCCTTATGAGTACTGTAAAGTTACTAAGGCGGTGTATTCATGCTTCATATGTAAATCTTTTAAAACCTTCAAAAGAAATTGCTCGTAATTTTTTTTTAACTTTTACATATTTTATGGCCTGATAGTAGTTGAATTTTTCATTTAATTAACACGTTTTTTTAGCAATTATTTATAAAGAAGTGGATCCTACTGTATGCGCAGGTGCAAATATATATATAACAGGAGAAGATCCTAAGTTAAAGCCAAAGTTAATTCTATTTATTTTTGAAAGTTAAAAGTTTCTTACTTTACTTATACCACCGGAAAGCGATGAATATCCTGAGTGGCTTTGGTCTATATTGGAACCTATAAGTTATGATCTACTATAATACATACTTTTATTACTAAAGTTTCGTTTATATAGGTCTTTTTAGTGTTTTTAAATACTAACTATACTATATGCTGGTTTTAAGCCACATGATATATATAACAATTTTTTTGGAAAGTATACATTTTTATTATAATATTTTTAAGCTTTAAACATAACTTTTTACCTTTGTTTTTTTTTACTCAGTTTTAAATTTTATTTTACTCATAAAATTCATTTGTTTTGTCGATTGCAGCGTATACTACCAATGACAGGAAATATTGGAAGTTACTAAGAAAAAAGGAAATAATCCGCAAAAATTCATTACTCAAAAAGAAATAAATATTGTATACACAGCTTTACACTTGTATAAGTAAAATAAGTTTGATTTATATTTGTTACAACTTTGGTTAAATTAAAGTTTGGTTTAAAATGGCGAGTGCTTAAAAAAAGTTATCCTGAAGTAAATAGTTAATGGATAGTTTTAAAAATTATAGTTCTAAAAAACATTTTCCAGTGACGAACAAAGTAAAAAGCCTTAAGTTTTGGCAATCCACTTGTCAGTCCTGTAAGTTATTAGCAGCTTTTCTGTTGGTAGAGAGGAGTAACATAACGACTTAAAAAGCTTTAAATTCACTACTAAAGGTGGAAGCTAAGGAAGCCTTTATAAAGCTTTATTAATCCAAGTTTCTGTAAGGGTTCGCTTACTTTATAAGGTCACAATGCAAATATCTTTGCCAGCATAAAAGCATAAGGCACAAACACTATGGAAATTCAATATATAAGAGCTACTACCTTATCCACTATAGAAACTGAGTAGTTGCTCATCCTTGAAACTAGGTAAAGAGGACTTTAGCTAAGACCTATTTCTGAAGATTTTGCTGAACGTTTTAGTAGTTAACTGTCCTCAAATAATAGCACAACGCTCCTCTCGGTGGTATGTAAATATTATGAAAGCTAGTATAACAACTTTATGTGTCCTAGTTATTGGGTTCCCTTAGGCCTTATCTGTAAAAACGTTAAGAAAATGTTTTAAGTATAATTTAAAGAGGTTTCTATTAAAGCTATCAAAGCTTGTTATAACAACGTGGTGTAGAAGACGCGGAAATAAAGTTTATATTTTAGGCCAAAAGTTTAGCAGCAATACTTTTAAATTTTTGAATATGAAGAGGGAAGATATAAAATACCTTCAAAAACCAAGCAGGGACGCTCAATATCATAAAATTCGTAACACATTAATTAGTCTTGCAGTCCACGTGCATTTAGACATCAAGTCTTCAGCAGAAAGTCTAAATTTTCATGCTCTTCCTTTTACTGCGTGGGGTGTGGCACAGTTACCATGTACCATATATATTATCTAATAAAAATTTCTCATTTCTATTTTGGGTTTATTTACATATTAACGCTTTTTAGTTTTTTTAACCATTATAAAGATTACGACAGACTGTGTAGTACTAATTTGAAAACTAACAATTTTAAAGTAACTTACAATACCCCAAGATTTGACATTTAAAATAAAATGAAATAACGAGGTCTTTTTATTTTTCACAGACAACACTTCATCAAAATATTTATAACTTGTTAAAAATAATTTAATATTCAACGAACAAATACAATTTCTATGAGAAATGGCCGTAACTTTAAATTATCTCAAATTAATTGTGTAGATAAGGCATTGTATAAATAAGCACATTCGAACTGTTTTGCTTAGTTTTTTTGATTTTTAACAATTTATTCGGTTATGGTAACTCTGATGTACTCGTTTAATACATCATTACCAAAATATTCTTTAATATTAAAATTACAATTTGCTGTTTATAGATCTCTAATTGTCAGTTGACGAATACATAAAGCATCAAGTTGAAATTTTCAGTTTTTAAGCAAATATAGATATTAATATATAGAAAAGATTTTGCTTACCATTCTATTACGTTACCAAGTGCTTAGATAAGTAGAGATGTGTAGAGGAAAACAATTCATTAAACTTTTTTTGATTAAACAAAATTCCGGCTAAAACAAATAAAATTTTTGCTGATAGAACAAAAATCCATTTAATTTTTACGAATCAAAAAGAATTCCTTTAGAACGAATGATCCGACATTCTGCGCTTAGACTAGAAATTATTCACCAGAGCTTACACCCATCTCAAACTTTTGACAAAAACCTGAACTCTGCACTACTTAACAGGTAGACAATTTATTTTAGTTTATTTTAGCTTATTTAGCCTTGGGAGAAGCTCATCTAAAAGGTTTGATAATATGTTACTGACCTTTCCTTTCTGAGCAATACCGTCAAAGTGCACAAAAAAGAGCCATTTTCATTCTCCCAAGGTTATTTACTCTACAATTCGGGTCTAGATTACGGAGTTGTGAGAAGAGTTATGAGAACTTGTCTTTTTAAACGTAACAAACACGCGTATGATGTATTAAAGCAGCTATGCTTCAGTACAATTTTTTAAATATATACTTTATAAAACCAAGCAAGCACCAGTAAGCAGGTTTTTTGTTTGGGATGTGGAGAAATCTTCTCACTTATTATTGCTCTTTATTGACAAATATTATGCAGATAAAGTAAGAAATTAAAACATTAATAATAACACAAAATTTAAAGACTCAAGCTATTATATGAAATTTTAATGCGAGAACCAACCTATTTCCATGATATAGCTGAAGCTCAAACGGGTCATTAAAGAAAACACCAATTTTAGGAGTTCTAACAGGATGATAGAGTACACATTCGGTTTAAGCTTGTATTAAAGCAATCTCATATATGCACAGCTATAATTTTTATATTTAAGAACTTCTAGCCCTAACCGTATTATATTTAGAGCCCATTGCTGTAGCCGGCGAGAGCGTGCGCCTTCTCAAAGTTAGCAATTGACTTCATCTGCTAGTAGTTGATGGGTGTGCTGCTTGTATAGGACGTATACCCTTCCACATCAAATTGTGGGGCATCTTTTTTTGGAGATGCGGTAATTACAACAGCTTAATCCGTTAGTAGGTGGCATTAGCATTGCGTCGAAGGTTTTCAAAAAAACACTTAACATAGAGACAAAAATAACAATAGTAACAATAGCAACAAATTGATGAAACTAGCATAAACAACATAATCTTAATTATAAATTTTACTTAACTCAAAAATTAAATGGAAGTATTCAGAAATATCTTTTAATAAATCGCTTAGCACTACGCCCGAGAGATCTTTAGACTTGGATAAACGAGTATTCACAGTATACCTGTGCTGTTTGCATTCTAAACATTCCACTTTTAAATTTCCTTTAGCTACATCTACTGTCATTGGCCCTTTTAACCATGCGTAATTTTTATTTAACTTACAATGCTGATTGGTCATCGCTAACGCTTAAGCTTTAGCCCAACACGACTTATATTTTCAAATTACCTTAAACCATTAGCTTTTTAATTTAAGACCAGTTACACCAATCAGAACAAAAAAAATTCAACTATCTTATAAGCCTTAACAACGTTGTATACATAATTTGTCGACCGGTTATCTGGGTTGTCACAACAGCTCAGTGGTTATAGCATTGTCGCAATCTTAAGGTCACGAGTTCGCTTCCAGTCGGTGCCATCGCGCATTTTTTTCAGGTAGGGTGGTTACGTATACAGCATTTTTGTACACAATTTCTAATAAACCTTTTTAACCAAATATCTCTACATATAAATACCACAATTTGTTTTTAATTTGTCTTTTGAACTGAACCAAATTTAATGATAATAACATTGATAATTATATTAGTAATAGTAACTATAATATTAATAAATTTACTAGCCTCCTTCCCCTCCTCCCCACCGCCTCCCAAATATTCTTCGTAATTCAATTTGGGTATTCTTATCCTCACAATTAGAAGCTGACAACATTTCTATAAACTCCGCTTTAAATGCGAGAGATGACATAAAAAATATGGCTCCTCCCAAAGATGACGTTAGAAAACTTACAGTCCTTTACTTGACCTTAATGGTCATGAACATTATACCTGTCAGTTACCTTCTAATAAAGAGATGAAGATGGCCTCGCGCGGGGTCTTTATTTAGCTAAGCTGCAAAACATATTAATCAAAAGCTGAAAAATTAAGGGTTCTCTCCTTCCGTACTTATCAGAATGCGACGCAACGACAAGCTTAAAATACCAATGCCTTTGATCTTGTTAAATTACCTCAATCTGAATATAGTATATAACGTGAGAAATATAAGCTACAGTACAGTTTCTCTGGAACCTCTAAAAAATTGTGATAGAACTGCACACGGCTTTAGATGCCAATTATTTGAACATAGCGATAATTTTGGTTCCTTTGACTACAAACGTGCCAAATGACGAGAAGATAATATACCATGAAGTTATGCCCAAAAGAGTAAGATGAAAAGCTAAGAGGTGCAAACTTAATGGCGATCACACTGCAAACTACAGAGAGTGCATCTTTCATATTAAAACACTCCTCTTACAACGGCTGGGAAAAATGACGATAAGAAAATATCAGAGATTTTTTTACAGGACCTGGAATGAGTTATGCTAGCAAAATGTCGAGTGGTGATAGGAGACCTTCAACGTCTACTAATTTAGATAATTTAATAATTAATTATCTAGTAGTCCCCTTAACTGAGGCTATCAGTAACTAAATTTAAAATTCAATAAGCGAATTATTCCAGAAACTTAACGATCGGAAATGAATAATGAATACCGCTTAAAAATTTTGATTTTCTCTTGGAAGCAGACGGTTTAAGAAACAATAAATTTGAATTACTCGTTATTAAATTGGCGCTTTTTTCATTTCGGAAACTCACTTGAAAAAAGGCAATAAATTTAAATATCTAATTATTTTACTTATAGGTGCGTCGCATGGCCTCGAAAAAAGGAGTGGTAGCAATTATAGTTAAGAAAGGTTTCGAAATGTATTAAAGAAATCTTTAGAGCTTGGAAGCAATCGGGATACGCATTAAATTACAGGAGCAACGTAAAAATATCTGCTTATAAGCTCCCTAACAAGATGTTATCTTATGAAAACTTAGATTATATTTTCGGCTTATCGGACCCAGGCCAAAAATCTTAATCGCAAGCACACAATTGGAACAGCCGCTGTGCAAACTATAACTTGGGAATTGTTAGCAAATTGGGCTACCTGATTCCGTTGTTCTGCGCCAGATGCCCCAGCTCACATTACACCACGGGGGGGCATTGATGTAGTGGACATTGCGGTATCAAAAAAATATGAGTCGCTACAAGTATAAATTCTATTTGCGAGTAATCCACCAGTCATAATTCAGTTCTTATCGAGCTGGTAGACTATGTTTTTCTTGGAGGCTCAACTATCAAAATAACTTATTAACCAACTTTTTAAAAATTATTGGACAAAAATCTTATAAATATACTTTTCCGCTGTCGAACTTGCGCCCTTATAACGAATAAATCGCACCCAACTGCGGAGTGTCTCTTTTAAAGTTGCAATTAAATTCGACATCCGTCATCTGAGTCGGATATTGATGATCCAGTCTATCATCTAATCTACAATTCAAAATGAGTATGATACTGCCTCAACTTCTAAGCTAAGCTTTCTAGTTCCGCCCTCCTCTATTATGAATATGATTAAAAGGAGATACTGTTTTTAAATTAAAATCTTAAAAAACAGACTTTTAGGGGAAAATAGCCTACAACAAAGTAATTAATTTTTTGAGACAAAAGAGCTGAAGTGTTTAAACCCTGTGGCTTTGACCTTATGGAAATTTTAACAGGCCCCTCAATCCTTGTCTCAATTTATTTAGCATTCTGTAGTTAGTAAGTGCATATAACTTAGTGAGGGCTAAGTTGTAAAGCTATGCCTAAAGCTAACCAGTAGCTCGGCTGGAGAGATCTTTTTCTTTTATTGCGAGGTGACCCGCTACTCTTTTTTGTAATTCAGTAGCTAGAGTAAATAGTGTCAGTGCACTATAATGAAAATTCCACCAATTTATTATGAAAATATAGTAGCACATACTATTATGAAATATACGCAGACAACCTACACATACATTTAAACAAAAGTAAACCGCACAAAAACTATAATTAAAATTGAAACAATTAAAAAAATCATAAACTAATATTTTTAAAATAACCACGATTTAAAACACATTGGCAGGGCTATGTAAACCAGATATTTATTGTGCTAACTATCGACTCTGACACGTATATTAACGGAACCAAATTAAAAATGTTTATTCATAGAATCTTAGATTTAATCTAAACGGATATACTTCAGAAAATGCTATGTAACCTTTTGTAAAGAACCCTTTGATTGACTGTATTAAAATAACCCCCCCCCACCTCGCCCCTTTTTTTTCACGCTCCTTTTCCGTTCTAGGTATTAGTACATACTACCAGAGATAATTCTAACGTTTTCCCTTAATCATTGTCTTCGTTCTCCAAGAGTTCCACTGCGAATCAATAAGAGGAGTGGGCCCTGGTTTGAGGCGACCTCTAACTATATTAAACAATCTTTATTTTTAATAGTGAAGAGAAATCATTAGTATTATCAACTGCTTAAGGACCAAATGGCTGTGGGACTAATCAGTATACCCAACCTAATGATCAAACATTTTATTACTAAGGCTATTGCCCATATAAACGAGCTTTTTATATCGATATTAACTATATCTTACTTTCCCGTTCGTTGGAAGATAGTGGAATTTGTTTTTATTTCCAATTAAAAAAAAAAGGGGGAACCTTATTAAAGGCTATCTGCCCATGAGTCTACTACTAGCATTGGTAAAGTTGCAGAGGGTGTGATACTTGCATTATTAAGAAACTTTGCTAGATCCTACTCCAGATATTATATAATAAATAGAAAATTAACAGTTCGTGTAGGGACAATTAATTTAAATCTAAGGGATTAAAAAGCTGAGGAAGATAATGATCAACGCTTGTAGAAGTGCAGCATTGATTATAAAAAAGCCTTTACATTTAAAACCGCCAAACTTTACATTAACTTAAAATTGCTATTCCGCGGAGCTCTCGTGTTAAGTATTTAGAAGTTATTATGATTATAAACGCACTTGGAACGCTCAAGTTGATATGTCTTGAGATTAATGAACGCTGCAAAGAATGTCCTATACCCATTATATGTAGGCGCAGAAAACTCCACCTTAAAAATAAGGTGCTTCTGTTTGTTGACCCTACAATATTAAAAAGAGTTTTAGTTCTAAAAATATCCAATTCATATGTGTAACTATATTATACTATTATGCAACTTTTTTTGTTAACCATTGGACAAAGAAAATTTTCTGGTTAATACATTTAATATATTTTTAAACAGCTTGTAACGGTGTTAAGATAAAACTTTCATCTTTAAGAGTGGAACAAAGATATATATAAAAAAGCAAACGACTCCAAAGATTTTTTTCCAGTTTTTATTGCAATTTTTATGGAAAGTTGATTTCATTGTCATTTCTCTTAAAATTTTTTACGGTCAAGCATAGACTATAAGAAAAGAAAAAGCGATTTATTTAAATTTTACTACGCTTGAATAGTTTTGGACTTTACTTGAATTGCACCTACAAAGCTGCGCTTATAATTTTAAAGGAACAGTCGCCTTGACTTAGGCCGCAGGGGATTCCTTTATTTCGAAGTGCAGCAGCGGTAATGGTGCCGTGCGCTTCATCGTGTTAAAATGGACTCTGCTCTTTCCCACATTAAATGTAATTTTTTAACGAAGACAACAGTTGGCAAGTGTCACTAGGTAGCACTGCAAAGGCCTGTGCGATAAGTTAGGCGACTGGACGAGGAGCAAATAGCCGTATTATCTACATATAATGTAATCCGCGTGTAGGGGCCGTTAAGCTGAAGCACATCGCCGCGTAAAGTGCAAAGAGTAAAGGTGTTAGAAGAGGCCCTTGTATGGCTCCAGCTGTTAAAGATCTTATGAGAGTGTGTACATCACTCAGCTGTACTAAAAATGCAGTCGTTAAGGTGAGATTAATCACGTTAAATAAAACAATAAGAAGGGCTAATACGAGCAATTTGTGAAAAAGTCCATGCGACAAACGCTTTCAAGCGGCATAGTATGCCAGGCTTCAGCTACTTTGTCAACGACTGAGAAGAGACTAATTGATCTCGTTTTGCTTAGCATTAATGCTGGACTTGACGTATTCGGGGTAGCACAACAGGTGCCATCTTCCAGGGCAATAGGAAGGGCATAGGGCCATCGTGGGATTTTTGAGGCAGCATGAACGTTCTATCGCCACCTTTAGTAGTTCCTTGCCTTTGGTCTCGTTAAACTTTAATAAGCTACATGATTTCGACTGTGGTGATCAACTCAAGCTCTTCTTCGGAATCAGCGGGGAAATTAGGACCAACTGTTTAAAGCATAACTGCTCTGGTTACTGTCTAGTAACCCCAAGTGAAGAGAAAACGAAAATTAATTAGCAATATTGGGCATAAAAAACGGCGGTAAAAACTTAAAAAGATGAAAGTATTTTAAAGTATTTTTTGCAACTATAGGGCTTATGATATATTTTAAGTATAATAGTATTCGAAGAAACATGAAAAGAGGTTTATACGAACAATAACAATTTTGTCTTAAATTTTTAACAGGTGCTTATTGGGTCACCCAAAGAAACACGTGATATACACACATTCAGTAAATACATTAAACAGTTAAATCCTATTAAAACCATTTAGTTGCATATAGTTTATCCTCTATCTGCCTTTTAATTAAAAAAAATGGAGTCGTTCTTTCCTTTATTTTTTTACACAACCTCACAAACTTTAAAGTTCACTACTATATGTCGATACGCCACGTTGAGTCATAAAATTACGAACTTTATAAATCTAAACTTATAACGAATACTTTCGAAAATATTAAATATGCTATACCTTTTAGCTTACTTATTATATACTAATTATAACAGGCCTATTACCGTGGTTACTAAAAAAGTAAGACGTGAAAAAGGCTTTGAACAACGAAACAAAGCTTTTGAAGGTCTTACAAATATGGGCGAGTGAAGCTAAAATACTATTTGAATTAAGTCAATTGTTATATCAACAGGTCTACTTAACCTTTTGCAATAAGTTAATTTTATGTGTTAGTAACTCTACTCTTTGTAAGCTGTTCTTGAACGATGGTGTGTGGCAGCTTAAAAAAAAATGGTTTTCACCTCTCTTATATGACATCTTCGCTTTATAGGCGCTACAGTTTTAATTTTAAGTCTACACGAGAGAAAGAGAAAGAAAGTCAATACCAGGACACCAGGCTATAACGACAATAACTCACTGTTGCGAGAATTATTTTTACTAAATGACTTTGCTTTCTTTGTACCCAGATAGTAAAAGGGTCAAAATATTTATTTTTTCTTCTATTATAATTGTCGGATCTTCTAGTTATTGATCGGTTTTATCTTAAAAAAAAAGGGCGAGTAGCTGGGAGACTCTGGTATAGGGAAGCGGGGGGGGGGGGAGAAGCAGTTTTACTTATCTATTTAATATTATATTAATTATTCAGTTGGTAAGACTTTCATTAATTAGAATGTTTAAGCTTTCTAGATATTTATTAATACGGGTAATTATCCCTGAATAGAAATCTAATGGTAAAGTCCAACAATAATTCTATTCAATAATTTTACGAACTCTTTGCGGGGTAATGAAATAAAGTATATAAATTTAACGAAGTTTATATATATTTTAGAATATCATAATACTATCGCTCTCCCCAATAATAGCGCCCTCTTCCTCCGGAGGAGCCGTCTTAGTAAAGTTAGTAACGTCCCTTCGAAACGAATTAATATTCTTATTAAACTGATTTCGGTTCCTTTGAGAAAGGGAGCCATCGAGCCCGTTCATCAACTCATCAAAAAGTTTATGGAACATCGGCTAGACAGTGTAAAAGTATTACAGCGATATAGAAAAGAGGTAATATATTACAAGTACCGAACGTGAAACAAACAAAACTTTATAATACGTAAAACTGTTAATAATATCTTTACTATAAAAACTAAAAGTTAAAAAGAATTTATTAAGAGATATAAGCCTCTATATGACAAATATTACATAAAGTTAACTTGTATTAGAGTGATGATTCGCTAACTGTACTCCAAAAAAGCAATAATAATAAATAAAGGAGATGAAAAATTTTCATAAAATTAATGAAGTTATCTGAATCATAAACTTCTTCTAATCATATAAAGTTAAGAGTATAAAATTAAGCAAAGTTTACTAATAATACGAAATTCGAAAAGCAAACTTTTCAACCTTTTCAAAATAAATTTTAATGCATTCAATTATAAGTAAACATGAAGCGAACTTTAGCAGAAGTATTAAAGAAGTATAATAAACTTTGTATCAACCACAGCAACTTACTTGTCTTTCATTGGATTGCTGCTCAATAACGTAATTCTTGGCTTCATCAAAATACTTTTTGTTTATGAAATATATATTTAATGATATTTAGTACTTCTATAGTAGTTCATAATTTTATAAAAATTCGTTATAAAGTGGATATGATAAAATTCTATTGTTTTTAATTTATTTAAAGTTGAAGATTGTATTAATTAAATTAAAAAAAAGTTTACAATAGCATTTTTTTTAAGTTACAAAAAAAAAATTGTAATTTTCATCTTTAATGTAAAATATAAAAAAACAATAATATTTATTATTTATTAAAAAGTTAAAGCACTTCATAAACTTCACAAAAATTTAAAATTGTCGAAACACTTTTTTAATTTTTTTAATTTTATGAAAACTATTATTACATATTATAATAATTAAAAAAAAAATTAATAATTGTTTATTACAATAACCTGTTTACAATAAAAATAATAATTTAAGTATATTTTTCTATTAAGAACTTGGAGATTATTTACTTTTTAGTATTGAAAATAAATTTTTTAAACAAATACTTTTTTATTAAGTATGATGATGGCCAACATCGGCCTCGAGAGCGACCAATAAATCTAATAAATAATAAAAGCGTTATTAACAGGTTTAGAAATATCATAAAGAGGTTTACTAATTATTAGTATATTTATTACTAGAATCACATATAAATAACAATACTACTTTTTAACAATAAATATATATGCATTACATTTTAGAGATGCTTATTATCAATATATTAATTAGGAAATCTCATAATCAACAATATAATAGTTTACAATAAATAAATATTAAAGTACACAATATTAAAAGAAGCTTTTAATAGGTACAATATTAATAATAAACAAGGTGCTAAATAAAATTCGGTAACTTTTTTTTCTAAGGAAACAACCAACATTACTGAGGACGAATATCACGTGACCTTGCACTCCTCAAAGATTACTGCATTAAGCATGACTTTTAGCATTTGCACCAGCAGCTCTTTGCAACTCTCAATGGCTAAAATTAAGCCGGTGTCTACTTGATTAGTCTTCTTTTTTAAGCACTAAAAAGTGATAAAACTGTTAAGCACACGTGGAGATCTGGTCTTTTCACGTGTGTAAAAATACATGCGGCTATACTTAAGTTTATGAACGGTCAAAATTTTAAAAAAATACTTTAACGGCATGAGAAATTAAGGAATCCAAAGCGTGACAGCATTTCACTGCGAGTTCATCATTCGAACTACTTCGTCCTATTAATAATTAACCAATAGTGTTTAAAAAAAATAGTCCAATACGAATGCTTAACAAGCTTAACAAGTAACGCTTTTGATACACATTTTTAATAATAATAATGATGGTAACAATTAAATAATAATAGCTACCCATTAAAGCGAATCCTTCTGATATTGAGTTGATAAAATAATGGAAGGCATTACTATCGAGCGTCGCCAAGTAGTAGATATGATCAGCTGCTAACACTTCCACAAGACTGTAGTACGCCTTCGCAAGTTTATTAAAACTCTATAATATATATAAATATCCTATAAATTCTAACTTCGAAAAGCTATTTCATTAAAAACTACACAATTGAAAGTGCGTATTGACAGGAATAATAATTGGTTTATAGTTATATCAGCCTAAAAAATTAAAAAGCGCAGCGGACTTTATACGAAATTATTATTAACTACAAAATAGAAAATTTATACTTTACAATGGAATATTTGTTTTGCATTAATATGTGGCATGAATAGAATAATATTAAAAAAAAATTAAAATTTTCTTAGCGTATATTATATAATAAAATTATTATATAGTATTTCCATATAAGCAGTATAATTCATTAAATAATTTTTTAAATTTAATTTAAATTTAATGCAGTAAAATTATTGTAGAAGCATAATGTCATGAATCATAATAAAGAAAGTCACCAAAATCCAATCAAGTTGAAACGTTGATATGACTTGATAAAAGACATTCAAAACTTTGTCCAATGCTTCGTCTCCATAAAGCTTGAAGGCGCCAAAATTGACAAACTTCGCGCCAAGTGTATGCACAAGGATGTTGATCGAGTACAACACTCCGCGATATCTGCGTTTCAAACCAATTAAATTGATTACAGAACGTAAGTAGTTGACAAAATAAAAATTAATAAATAATATACAATAGCATAAATTGAATATAATTCAGTTATTTTATTTATAAAAGTCGACTGCCACTTTAGAGTCGTACTAGTTTTTTAAGGAATAGCGTGATAACCCTCACGCGAGAAGTGTTTCCCTGTTGCCTATCCTCACTGCGCAAGCTCCAGAAGAATTTAATACACTATAGCACGCTCTAAAAGTTCAAATGTTCCCAATAATTTATTACTGAACCCAACTGAACTATTCACACGCATCTACTGGAGAAAAAAATAAATGTATCGACCATTGAAATTAAATATTGCTAAAAGCGCCTCCAGGTGGAATAGGAGTCATATTTACACCTCATAGCATGTTTTCCAGTAATCCGTTACTTATAGATAGCATGCTTTTATTGAAATAAAGTTATTTTGTGGTCCATCACATGCTTATAAATTCTAAGGTACACATAGCATCGCATGAAAGAGTTTATATATAAATTAAGGTATTATGACTAATTAATATATACGATTCCTATTCACTTATTTCATAAACTAAAAAAATACGGCGCTTTACATTACAATTACAAAATACTTTTAATATTAGTAAAAATTATAAATAAATCACAAGTGGACAGTAAACATGTATAATAATATTATTAAACGCCCGTAGAAATTACTAAAAAATTCATCTGTTAACACATAGTTACGTGGTGACTCTCACACAATATAAGCTAGTAGCCGACCACCATATGGAAGCGGCTAGAGAAAAGATAATGTAAAGAAGCAGGTTGCAGATTCGGGCTTTAAATTAATATAAATGGGCCCACATTAATATAATTTTTATAGGGTTTCCTATAATAGGCTCCTTTCGAATATGACATAGAAATATTAAACAAGAAGTCAACAATTAGGAAATGCAAACCACGTGGCTCCAGTCATAAACTGAGTGATTAAGAAAGGACCGAAATACAGGAACAGAAAAAAGGAAAATATATAAGGAAATGATAAAGTTTCTATACTCTTAAAAACTTGGCCAGTAATATGTTAATATAGAAAATTTATAAAGTATTTAACAAAAAAAGAAACTTAAACGTATTGTTTATAAAATCAGCGTAATTAAATATACAGAAAGTAAATAATTTTTAAAGTACAAACACATCGTAAATTATAGAACATTTCCATAAATAGGAATTGTTTATAGAATTAGCAACAATTATTAATAAAAGATTTAAGTAACTAAATAGTGATGAAAGATAAAAGGTAGTAGCAATATATATAAAGAGAAGTTTTTTATATACAAAATTAAAAAAAATATCATCATGAAAGAGTAGAATAACTGTTAAGGTTGATATGTTATTTAATATAATTTAACAAACTTATAATAATATATATAACTTCATTATAAAAGTGAATTAATGAATTATATAACTGAAAAGGTGTTATAGTAAATAAATTTGAATAAATTACACGCGCCAAAAAATCATTGCATAAAAATAGTTAAAAGTTACTACTAAAAAGATTAAAATTATATATATATACTTTAAAAAAACTTTACAAAAAATAAACTTGCTTAACACAAACACTAATATTATAAAATAATTATAGAAAGAAATGAAAACTTTTTAATAATATAATAAAAAAAAAACTTAAGAATTAATAAATTGTTATAGTAAAAAACTCTATACAAAGCATATAATAGTAAAATATATATTTAGAAACGTAAAGTTGGTAAACGACGAAGAGAAAAGGCGCACCGATTTTTCTGGCTCTCCTGCGAAGAGTCGTTACTAAACTGAGAAGATAACAAAAAGGCAACTGCATGAAATAAATAATAGGAATAGATAAAAATGAATAATAATATACAAATAATAAAAAATTATTAGAAAAAAAAAGTAAAAAGTATGCTACGAATTTTAAAGAGTAGGAGTAAAAAAAATCAGTAAGATATAAAAATAATGAGTAGGGGGGAATGAGAAAGACTAATAAATATAATAGATAGAATAAATATAGTATAATTTACAACATAACATATATATGGAAAACAAATAATAACAACTTCAAAAATAAAAGATAACAATAAAAATAAGATACAGTGAATATAAAACATGCAATAATTTAAAAAATTTACTTTAAATTGTGTACGCTTATATATCAGCACATATAAACTATCCATTTATTAATTGATTGATACAATATTTTTTTTATATTTCAAAAGTTCATTTATCAAAGAGACCAAAACCCGAAATGATTTGACTGAGCTGTCTAAAAAGTAGAATGCCATTCACGCTGGTGACTTCGAATTCGATTCGCGGTTTCCGATTGCTGACGAGCTCTCCAAAAAATTTAAGAATCTTATGAAAATAAAAAAAAAAGTTAATTTTTTTGAATTAAAAAGTCACGTTTTGTAAACAATAAATATTTATGAGTATAAAACTGAAGCAAAATAATCATATAAATATCAAAGACACAAACTGTAGGCATAACTTTCCATAAATGTGCTACGTGAAAACATAAATTTGATTGATGCGGTACTGTCTTATTTATAAAAATAAGTAATAAAAAGAAATCGAACGGGAAAAGTGACGTCCACGTCATCCATCCATATATTCATGGCCTCTTGAAGAACATTAGTATAGTGCGGAAAACTGTTCCGCAAAGTATACAATGAAAAAAAAATAAAAAAAAAGCAGCAAAAAATTTAGAGATTTTTGATTTATTAGAAATAAAACTAATGAAGTAAAAATCTAAAACTGAAAGACGTACCCAAACACTTTTTTAAAACGGTGCGACCATCCAAGTCACCAAAAAAATACCAGTGTTAATATATGACTGGATAATATCAGAAACAGGAGCCCAACATGACCAAAAAAATTTATATATATAAAATATTCGACTTATACATGACTCACTCAATAAATAGATTATGAAGGGCTATTAATTTTCTTCTAAAGCTGAAAAAGTAAAGAAAAGTACGGCTTATGCCTCTGCAAGGCGTGTTTACTCAAAACTACAAAGTCACTAAAGTATGAAAAGAAAAATACAAAAAAAAGTAAAAAAGCAGAATATACATTTTGTGTATTGGATCTCTTAAGTATCATCGATTTTTGTAACCGTTATAAAAAGTTAACTGACTAATCAGTAACAGCATAGTAATCGTGAAAATTTATCCAAACATGAAAATATCTTTCGACGTGGGTGAAGGGGCCAAACTTACATGTAATCAAAATAGCACATGAACATTTCTTTATTTTCAGTAACTACCAAGAGGCCGGTCAAACTTCGGGCCACTTCAATGACAGTACTCTAAGAAAATGAAAAAATAACGCCTACTCCAATATGAAAACAATAATATATGATAATAATGTTTAAAAATAGTGGATATGATACAATTTAATTCATATGGATAGCAGGTTAGTAAAAAAATGGATGAGTTTATACTAATACCGAATCAGCAAACATATAGCGCGAATAAATGCGTCAATAAAAATTATTATAAAGTGAAAAGTAGCAAAAAAAATTGTACTTTTAAAACAACAATTAATAAATTAGCGTTATTTTTTTTATCAATAAGAAATAATATAAAATTATATTATTTAAAAAATATATTATACATTTATAATAAAAAAATAAATATTGCATAATTATAAGCAACTAATATTAACAAAAAGAATTAATTAATGTATAGTACAATTATTATTATAACCGATAATACTAAATAATAATATTAATTAATGATAATGAAAAAGTTAATAAGTGCTCTGCATATGTAATAAATCTTCTGTAATATAAAATATTAAGAACAAAATGTTTAAAGAAAATGATTATACAATACTAATAGGATTGGTATATAAATGAGAATAAAAGAAGAACAATAAGTTAGCTGTAAAAGTATAACCAAAGAGCGGATGTGAACAAAAAAAAACTAGTAACGTGTGGGTAATATTTTTTTTATATATTATAGAAAGTAAAAGTATAATAGAGAGCTGTAAAAAAATTATAATAATAAACTAAATAAAGTAAACTAATATTTAAAAAAAATTAAGCGGAATATAATTTATAAAATAAATAAATACGAATGTATATGATCATTATAAAACAATAATTAAGGAGAAGTATAAAAAATTGATAAAATGAATAAATAAACATGAGGAATAATAATTATATAAGTATAATAAAAACAAAAAAAAAAGAAAATATTAGTAACACGTAAAAAATATATATATAAGAATTAGACACTAAATACAGCAATTATTATAATTTATAATAATATCAAGAAAAACCTTCACTGAATTATCATTTTTTAATAAACTATAATCGCGCGGTTGGAAAATGGAACAAAGATTTTGAAAAGCACGATCAAAAGTAAGCATAAAGTACTCAAGCATATCGTTTTCAGCTAAAGAAAGTTATTTTATTACAATAAACAGATATAAATATGAAAAAAGAAAAGTATAAACAAAAATTAATTTAATAATTTTTATAAATTAATAAGTAATAGTAAAAAAATTGAAAACTCATGAATAATAATACTATAAGAAAATAACAAGTTTTATCATTATAATAACAGAGCGTGTAATGAACATAAAAATATATATATAACAGCTGAAAGAAAAGTTGCAGGTAAAAAAGTATATTATAATAATGAAAACTTCAGGCTACTAAACTAGAAAGGAACTGTTAAAGTATGTCTAAAAAGATAATTATGAGAAAATGCTTTTTAGTAAAAAAAGACTAATAGTATCATAATAATATATAAACAATAAATATTAAAAGTTAAGAAATTAAAGAATTTTATGTATTTTGCATTATTAATACAGAGATGGATAAGGACAGTATATAATAATATAAAGTCTACGCAAGTAAATAGAGGATAATCATAATTAAAATTAAACAATTACTTAAAAGCTGAAAAAATTGGAAAACTCAACAACTACTAAAATGTAGTAATAATATAAAATGTAACAATTATCTATTTAAAAATACTGTAAACCTTAATAACTTAACTAATTATAATATATATATAAAATAATGATACACAATAATATAGAGAAAAATAAAAAGAGATTCTCATAGCTTCAACCTTCGCAATCAATATAAGTAGAAAGAATTCTAGAGAGGGCAGAATAGTAGTCCGTCCTCAGATTTAAGCGTTGAGGAAAACTAAAAAACTCTAAAGATTCCTTATCATAAAAAGAAATAAAGTTAAAAAGTTAAAGAAAAAGAGGAATAGAATGAATAAAAAAGGACTACTCCATTAGGTTGACCAATAAAAAAATCAAACAAGCATTACTGTTCAAGAAAAATATAACAAGTAGTTTACGGCATGATTCCGTAGCAAATACTGAATGGTATCAAGTTTAACGAGCATATGGCCGAAACTATAGCCCATGGAAAGCTCAGTAAAGGTCTTCAGCGTTTCTTTTATTATCGTTTTATTATTAAAGAAGACTTTCAAGTTTTTTAAGCTAAAAAATAAAAATAATAATATATAATAATAACAAGAAAAGAAAGTCTTTTAACATTTTATTAACAAAAGCATCCAACACCGTCAGCTGGTCAGGAAGGTTAAGACTTTCAGCAAGCAAAGAAAATAACTTGAAAAAAGAAGATATTATTTATTAGCAATAAAGCAATCAACGTTTCTTCTTAATATTACCTTACTGAAAAAAAAACTAAAAGCTATTCAAGTAAAGTATAAATGTTGTAAAGGGTTATTAGCTATCATTATTTTTATATATATAATAAAAAGCACGTGATAAAACTAAAAAGTAAATACCATCAATAGTTCTAAGAAATAAACTTATCTCTATTTTCTTATAATATTAACAAACTAAAGCAGAGCTTAAGCAAGTTGTTCACACGAAAATTCATAAAAGCACTAAGAGGGGTTGATATTTGCTTTTAAAATATAGCTTTTTTTATAGATTTTAATAATTAAAAGTTCAAGAGAGCCCCCAAAAAACTATAATATATATAAAAACCAAAATTTTAAATAGTTATAGGAAGCACGTGGCTAAACAAAAGCTATCAATTATTTAACTTTCTAAATGGTGAAGTTAAAATAAATTTTATTCGTTCGTTCATAAACTATAAAATAGGTCCAAACAAAACTCCTAATTAATAATAAACTTATTGGTAAGCGTATATTCCTTATTTTATATGTATATATTACGTGGCATTATAGCTATAACAGTATATTAGTTCATATAAACTTTTGTAAATATTTATAAGAGATTACAACATTTCACTAATTATGGGCGTATAAAAAAATTTAGACGATCCGTTCTTGTTAAAGTATAGTTATCAGTACGCAGATAATTACCAAGATTTATAGTAGCAAGTGGTTAAACGACAGTTAAAACTATAATAAAGTTATTAGAATAGAAAAACAGATTATAATTTTTTTTATGTTCTAAGCACGCGCTTAAGAGTAATTTATATTATCAATAAAATAAATTTTTTTCATTATTATTTAATATTTTGAACTCAAATACTCTTCATTCATATTTAAAATGACTCGAAAAGTATATTAATAATGAACTTTTTTTTAAAATTATAAAGGAAACTTATCGAGACTTCATTAATTATATATTTTTTGAACTTTATAACAAAAAGATACAATAAGCTTTCAAGTTCATATATTTATATAATAATAAGTATATAAACTTTAGAAGTTCGAAGGACTGGAGTGCCAATAAAAGCTTTACTAAAGTTTGTAAGATAAGTTAGAAAGGCAATTTCAAGAGGCTCGCAGCTCTACAGCAACAATAATAATAATAATAATAATAGTAATAATAATAATAATAATAATAATAATAATAATAATAATAATAATAATAATAATAATAATAATAATAATAATAATAATAATTAATAATAATAACCGTTTGCATATCGGCAGCAATGCTCATCAATCTTAGTACGGTGCAAGCCAATTCGCCATCCATGGATTCCGATTTAGGAGAAGTAATAGTCACTATTTTAATAATAAGTATATATGAATAAAAAAATAATAATATAAACAGTAATAATAATCAGTATAACCTGGCCGAGTACTAAGAATAGAAGCGGCCATGAACACCAAGCAAGCCAACTGCCTTTTAACGATCTCATTGGAGCCACGTGACACCTTATAAATTATTATAACTGACCAACTAATAAGACATGCAAGTGTCAATAATTTATAATAAAGCATAAAAATAGATTATATATATATATCTATAAGTACAGAATAAGAATTGTATAAACTGCTGAAGACTTCAGTTATGTAAGGCCAGACGACGGCGTATTGACAGCGCGCAACACATGCAAATCTATAAACACAGAAAAATAAGTTGTTATCCAATTATTCGAATATTATTAAATAGTTATTACTCACTTATATTTACTTACATAAAAAGTAAATTTTTATAATAAATTTTAAAAAATTTAACAGTCAAGTGTTATATATATATTAATAAAATTTTTTAATAGTAAGCATTATAAGTTTGGGATTCAACCCAAAAAAAATAAGACTAATTTTATAAATATATTAATAAAATATCGAATGTGAATTTTCATAAGAAACTGTTCACGTTTATAAATATTAATTATTATTGTTACTTTTCCAATTGGTCTAATAGTATTTCTTGATGATCAAGTATATCGTCAAGACCACTTTCCACGCCTTTAAGTTTCAAATTGATGTACGCCTTTGCAACCTTTACAGAAGGTGAAAAGGTAAATAATAATGGTTTCAATAAGTAAAAAGGGGAACCTCCGGAGAACTTTGCTCTACAGTATCCAATATTTTATAAGAATAACAGTTGGCAACAAACTTTTGCCAAACTAGAAGCAGGTAATCAACATCACTTTCGGGAATCTGAAGGGTTTTATATACAAGTACAATAATAATATAAATAATATATACATATATGCAACTTTACTAAGAAAAATAAATAAAGGATATACTTTTCATAAAAATTAAACGATGACTTATAGAAACGTTAAAAATTTTATAAAATTTTTTAAAAGAATAACATAACTTTAATAAAAATTACTTAATAAATTATACAACATAACTAATTCATGTATAGAAAATAATAACGATAATATTATGATAATTAAATAAAAATTCTTTTCCTAGAAAAAATAAAAAAATAATAAATAAACATAATATTACAAACCGTAAGAGAAGAAAAACTTTCGCAAGTAAATGCTGCGAGATGCTTAACAAAAGGGTCAAAAGTTTCTTTCTCAAATAGAGAAATCAAGTCATGCAATTTCATGCGCACCAGTAGTCGAACAAACTAATAATAATAATGTAGTCAAAATAAACATATTACTATTATAGAATTATAGATTTGGTATTTTATAACAATAATAATAAAGATAAAAAATAGTGTTAAGAAATATATATATGAATGGATAACATTAACAATAACTATTATAATTATTAATATTATAATATATAAGTATATATTAAAAAGATGGTGTGGTATTCAGTAATACATTATAAATTAATATCCGTTGTGAAAACTTAAATATAGAAAGTTATGACTCATATTAATAACAGTAACTAACAATTATAATTATATATATAACTATAATGAAAAAATTAATAACAAATCAGGCAATATGATGGTACCTCGTGATAGTTTTTGTTAAGGCCCATTTTATTATTAAATATTACGGAAATGTTGTGAATAAAATAAGAAAAGTATGTTTTCCTTTCTTCTTTAAGAAAAAATGAGCGTCGAATGGATGCCAGTTGCACAATACACTCCATTACCTACAATTTTCTTAGCAACAATAATATTATTATATTATATATAGTACATTCGTATTTTCTTCACAAAATAAAGTGTAAGCCTTAAAAAACAGCCGTAAAGTGTCAACAGTAATACCCCCCCTCCACGAACAAGGAAGCTGTCGGTTTATAATATATTAATATTAATAATGATAATAATTATAATAATAGTACATCGACAGTGTAGAGATCTTCTCCGCTTTCCTCTGGACAAGTCCCGATAAAATCAAAGGAAAGACATTTGTAAATAAGCAAAAGCGATTCATCAAGAACTATTTTGTTGCTGAACACTTAATATAAATATATGATAGAAAAAATATAATAAGTAATACAGAATATAATCATAAATATAATACAAAAAAAGTTATATAAAGGTGTTTTTTAAAAAATTCAGTCTTCATTTAAGCCAATCAAAACTAATACTACGAATTTTTTAATAGTTTCCTTATTTAACTAATATAATGGAGAGCAATGAACAGGAAGTACACGCACGTGATATAATATTGTAAAATATTCCCATTTAAGAAACTCTCCAATACAAAAAACTGCTTTCTTTAAAAAAAAAATAATGATAACCTCACCCTGAACTTCGGCAAACTAAGTAATAAAATGTTATAAAAATATTATTAAAAAATATTATCTGTATAATAAAATAATAATAATAATGAAAAAAAGAATAACAAGGAAAGGTTTTATCGATTCCCTCACGCAAAATTTTTATGCCCATTTCAAATATGGGAAGTAAAGCTTCGCTTCGAAAAGAAGTGCAGATTTTCCGCTGGAGTGTAAAAGAGCGAACAATACCTTGCTAGCAGGAAAAAGGGATAAATAAATTTACATATTAAAAACCAAGTGAAGATAGTAAAAATAACAAATGTATGCACACAATATAAATACTAAAGTGAAAGTATACTAAAAAAATCCCTACAAGATATATTGTAATTAAGAACAATTTGTTATTTTTAAAAATTTAAAAATTTACTTCCTGAGTATACAACATAGAATACGATTGATAAATATTACAAAAAGGGCATTTTATATAAATAAAAATTAACGAGAATCACACACATTTTTGAATATAAAAATTTATAAATAAATTTATAAATTATGTAAAAATAAAAATTTAAACATTATATTAAAATTTACCGAAAAACGTATAAACATTAAATAAATATATATAAAAGTAAATAAAACTTTAAAGGGAATAATATTAGTTACACGTAATTATAAATACAATAGCAACATATTTCAGACCGTATTATAAGTAATTTTTTTCGTTATTTCTACTTTTGTATAGTTAAAGAACTTTTAATAATAAATATGGTAATATACACGATAATCTATACTTTATAGAGAGTTATATAACAAATTTGTGATAAATATATTGAATACATATGCATGTTAATATTATGTTCTAGTTTATATAAAAATAACCTAAAGAAACTATAATAAATAGCATAATTGTATGCGCTATAGTGAAATAGAATAATATATAACAATTAGAAAAAAATATAATAAGTAATAAATCACTATAAAAATATATAATATACAACTATATAAAGAAGAGTTTGTTTTGTGTAGTACTTTTAATAAAAATAGTATTGGGGTACATATTATATACAAAATGCTTTTGTTTAAACTTTATTAATATAAGCTTCAGTAATCATTATTAAAAAACTTTACAGCAGAACAACATATAAAACTCGTCTAAAATTTATCGACATATTCACTATGATATTGCTATATTTAGTTATAAACGATGAATATAATAATGAATAAGGTGTCCAATGAAAGTAAGAAATACTAGAACTAATGATTAATATTATAATATTTGGCTTCTATAATGATAAAATTAATTGTTAATTTCCTAATAAAAAAATTGCTTTTTGTTATAGTAAAATAGTTTACGTATTAAAAGTTATCAATATTTATTGAAAGGTTTCACATAAATTAACATTAAAAATGAAAACAATTATATTTGTACGAAATAAAAAAATGAGAAGATTTTATGTTACGCCAATAAAACTTTATTTTAGCAAAAAAAATAAAATTATTGTTGAAGCGATAATAAAAAATCAAGAAGTAATTTGAAAACTTTAACTAGTAAAAAATAAGTGAAACTGTTACATTATCGACTTGATCCACCAGTGCGTAAAGGGCCTTCAAGCCAACCAAAATCCGTTCAGTATTACTCTAAAAAAAGTTCCAGGATATTATAAAAAGTACAGGCAATAGAAGAAAGTTAAAGTATATTTAAATATTTTCGTTCCGCTATTATTAACGTTATTAATAAATAACTACAATTCTCACATTTGTGTTTAAATAAAATATCTTTTAAAATCTTAAACATGATATTTATACTGAAATTAGGCTAATGATATATTATATATACAAAGGAACTGCTTTATTATTAAAAAAAATAAAAAATGAAAACTAAAAAATAGTAATTTTTAATGCTTTTAATCTTTAGTTTCAATAATATTATGTCTTAACAAGCAAATGCCTGCTTTATTATTTTCCAAAAGTAAAATATATAAATAAAAAAAGTAAAAATAGTCCAAAGTATAAAAAAAATTGTTTATATATTTTTTAACCGTATACTTTTAAAATCCTATAAATCTTTTAAATAATTATATAAAAAACAAAAAGGTATACGTCCGGAGAAAAAAATTTTAAAAGATCGGCTGGGACATTCCTAAATATGAATTCTCCTCCTCTTCGGTCGAACCAGCCCAACTTGGTAAGCAAACCAAGAGCCTTGCATAAAAAATATATTTTTAATAAATAAAGAAGCTAAACTAATATATAAGCATAATAACATAACATAATATTGATAAAAGATGTAATAGTAACAAATTCAATTTATTTATAATAAAAATAATGTGAATATTGAATATAAACAAGATGCCTGAACAAGGACTTTCAAAACATAAGGGGATACGTCCGTCTTGCAGTATATAAAATTCAATATAAAATTATCTATATAAAATAAAAGTTTTCCTTATCAAAAATTATTTATAATAAAATAAATATGAGGATAACTTAAGTAAAACAGTTATAGTTAGAGAAATAAAGATTTTATAAAAATAGAATATAGTAATGTCTTTAATATTTTCGTTATTATATGAACAAATTGTTAAAAAGTTTTAAATTTATATAAAAAATTTATGTTAATATATAAACAGTCTGAATATATAAATTTACTCTATAATAATATTTGATTAATAATATAATTATTAAAAAAATGATTAGTTCAAGTGAATAAGAAACTTATATTATAATTATATTATATTTTCTATAATATACTTATAATTAATTTATGGTATAATTTTTCGTAGATTATTCATTTTTCTTGCAGTGCTAATTAAAAGTTTCAATAAATAAATTTTATATATAATTTAAAATTTTAAGATCAGTAAAAATCCTAAAATATTTAAATATTATTTAATACCTGCTATTACTTTAGATACTTTTTTTTAACACTCAATAGAAATTTAACTTTTTTTATTCAAGTTGCTAATATTTAATTTTTTGGAGTTAAATTTTAATAAAAAAATAAAGTGTTCCATCTTTATTCTTCATATATTTTACTAAAAGTTAATAAAACTTTATTTAACTTTTACTTTTATAATTAATATAAATTAGTATATATTAAATTTATACATTTATGATAGTTATATATAAGAAAGTTCTATTAAAACACTAAAGTATGTATATCTAACAAAAAACTTTTTGCAGTGTTTTAATTATTTTTCATAAAATTTACATCATCTCTAAGCTAATAAATAAAAATAAAATATAGTGAAAAAGTCCTAAAAAATCCGTTAAAAAACTGCAAGTTAAACATAATAAAGTTACTTGAATTTTTTTCAAACATATTCAAAGTGGAAGTTGCTAACAAAAAGTTCTTAATAAATTATTCATAAAAAAATTTCACATATATGAATTAGTAAACCGCCAATCATCACTGCTAACACGACGATAATATAAAAAAAAAAAAAATTATGACACGAGCACTTTAAAAAAGAGGAAAGAACGTTAGCAAATCATCAAAGAAGCTACACGCTACTAATATGTAGTTACCAATAGAATAGATGTTAAAAATGCACTTTTTTTGTAGAATACAGTAAATATTTCATATAAAAATCCTTTCAATAATAAAAATTGAGAGTGAACAACGCAAGGAATAACAGCTCCAATATATAAAAAAAACTGAAAAAAAGTACTATTTTTTTTAAATCAGTAATTACTGTTTAGAAAATACATAACCGAAAGCGTTCACCTTGTTAAAGTTAATAATCTAAAAAAAAATTTTAAATTATAAATAAAGACAAGACAAAATTAAAAATAAATACTAACAGATGGCGCCTTTTTTTAAAAAAAACATGGATATATATATATCACAACGCGCATCATTTTAAATAATATTATAAAACATATATTTATAATATTATATATATATATGCCGTAAGTAGTCAGTATAAGTAAGTGTTCATATTAAAAAATAAACAAGTTATTTTTCTTAAAAGAATTATATATTTATACAAAGATATCACTTATCAAATAAAATAATATTCAATAATATGAAATCTATACTGTAACTGGCGCTCGATTTTTATCCACAAAATTTTTATTAAAAATAATAATCAAGAAATGCTGTAAAATAACAGTATTTTACAAAAATAAGTATTAAATTTTATAAGAAATAAGCATTGTAAAAATAGCGTAGATTAAAAAAATACAAATACTTTATGTTAGTAACATAAATTTTCTAAAAATTGTATAAAAAACTAGATATAGTAATATATACTGTGCTATAGCTCTTCTTATATAAAAATTTAATGAAATAGCTATGGATAAATAAAAAAATTCTTATAACTTTTAATAAATATTTAAGGTAAAACCTTCTTTTTTAAGTAATAATTGTTTAAAAAAAATTATATAAGAAATAAAGTAAACAGTGTTATCCGTAACCACAAACAAGTATTGATTAAACATTTTTTTATTAATAAACAATAAATATATACTCAAGTCGATGCGAAGATCCAGGTCTATAGTAGTGTATTTTTTACTAATATGCTCTATAAGCATATTACAAGCAAAAACTTGAACATAAGTATCGAAAACGTTGCTTAAAACAAATTTGAAATTGGAAAGACACTCTGCGCCTTGAAAAAGTGTAATAGCTTCCTATTAAAAATATATTAATAAATATAAAAAGTTTATAAAAAAACTTTTAAGATATATATATAGGAAGGATACTTGTAGATAATAGAAAAACTTAAAAATAAGTTTATAGTAATAACAAATATCTTATAAAAAAGTTTATAAAAGCAAAAGAACGTATAAAGTATATATATAAATTAAAAATAAAATAATTCAGTTGAACTGTTTATTTTAATATATATAAAGCCGACTTGTGTATTTGTAATGGCTGGTGAAAAAACTTTTAAGAAAGTTAACTTATAAAAAACTCAAAAAAAAGAAATCCTAACAAACTTTAATAATTATTAAGAATATTTAAATTATTCAAAAAGCTTTCAATAAAATAATATATTGATATTTGATCCAAATATATAAAGTTTTAAGTATTTTAAAATCATTTATTCCAATATCATTTAAAAATTATTTACTTTATATAAAATAATATATATTTCAAGAGAATAAAACAAAAATTTAAGGTAATAGTATAATAATTTGTTAAAAATAAATATAGAAATATACGCTTGTATTTATGTTAATGGAAAGAATATAAGACGAAAAGCCCCTTTACTTTATAAAAAGTATTAATTTAGTAATAAAAACTTTTTTTTATCGAGATAATCCTCCGCTTACAAGCTATAAAAACGGACCGAGAGTTCTTATGATATGGCCAACCACTGAAACAGCCGCAGTTTTATAAAACAAAATCCCAGTTCATTAAAAAATTTTAGAGTAAGTTATTTACAAAACTGATAAGCACTTTATTATTATTAAAAAAATGATATAAGTCGTAAAAGTATAAAGCAACAATAAAATGAACACGAAACCAAGTAAGAGAAAAATAAAGAGATTTAAAAATACAAGGTTTTCTATAAAATATAAAACCGACAATAAAAAAATGTAAAAAAAAAATAGTTAATTATTTAATAAGAGTTGTTAATACAAAAGTTTTATTTTTATATAAAAAAATAACAAGTAGTAAAAGAAAAGTAACAATTTCAAACAAACTCATTTCTATAAAAATAAAAGATATTGTACATATGTGATATATAAAAAATAATAAATTTATTAAATTTATTATAAAAGTAGATAGTAGAAATATAATATATTTTATCTTATATTGAGCAAAAAATTTAAGTATTATATAAAAACAATGGTAACATAAATGTTGATAATTTTCGTTAAAAACAGATTAAGTTTAGCACCTGCACGGTAGTATCTGTGTGATTGCCGGTAGTCAAAGCCAGACGGGCAGCGTAGACAAGATTGTTGATCTCTACGGACGAACTAAGCATAGTGGCCACTAAATTTAAATCCATAAATAGAGAAAACGATTAATAATTAAAAACAGTGTTCATAAAAATAAAAAAAGTGAGTTAAGTATAAGTTAAAAAATTATAAGAATTATAATATAAAAAAATAATATATAAATAATATTTTAGTCCAATGAAAAAAAAGAGAGGAAATATATTGAAGTAGAATAGTTAAAGTTTATTAGAAAGTAATTAAAAATTAAAAATTGATAGAAAAAATTAGAAATATAAAATTTAAAACATTTAATACCGCCTTTAATTTATACAAAACAAAGTTTTCACCCTCTTGTACTCTTAAAAGAATAAAGTAAAAAATAGTTAAGCAATCTATTACAATTTAGTTCAAATATACAATTTTAGCGATCACACAATAGTAATAATTATAAATTTAAATTCTATTATTATCTATTATTTATATTTATTTTTACAATATCAGCAATTATTTACAAAGACAAGTTAAAATAACTTTTAATATTAATAAGAATGGATAACTAAATTTTAAAAATGACGACTGATTATATAACATTCAATAAATGTTAGTAGTATGTGTAAAAGAAGTCTGACTCATTAATGGTAGGTGATAGCAACCAAATTCTCCATTAAACTACAAAGAGGCAATAACAGTTAGTTTACAGAAACTTTACTACTAGAGCTCGATCTATTTTACAAAGGTTATAAAGTTAGGCAATTCGTACTTAACCTTCTTTTTATAAAAAGTCAAGTGAAATAAAAGGAAATGAAATAAATGTATGAAGTTAGTATTTTTATAAAGGACTTTAAAGGAAAACCTACCAATAAATATATATAAAATAACAAGATAAGAGTATTAAACAAGCACAACTCTGAACATTGGTTTATTAGCATTTTATAGTTATGCATTTCTAAGGGGCTGAACTAACTTAAGCGACAGGAAATATAATAAAATAAAAATTGTATAATCATTTTTATATATCTTGAATAACAGTAAAATGTATAATCAATTTTAGATATCTTAAATAACAGTAAAATTATGTTCTTCTATTAATCAAAAACTAAATATATACATATTCAAGAAGCTGACTTTCTCCATAAAATATATACTAAAATGTATAACAATAAAACCTTATAATACTTTCGTAACTCTAAAATTAAAACATTCTGTAAAGTACAAGTTCACAATATATAAAAATGCTATTCAATTTGTAAAAAATATTCAGTAAATTAAAGTCGCCTACAGAATAGGTGAAAAGCACTAATTTCAAAGGATTTCTTAAAGTCTAAATCCTATGAATGCCGACAAGGTTGAAGCAAAAACTGGAAGTGTTAAAGGATGCGTATGATATAATTCAATGCCCAGTATGCTCAGCAAAGAATTGAAAAGGTTACGGTGGCTTTGATGAGGGCGTGATGAGGAGAGGCTCCACAATATAGTAAATGTGGAGTCGGGGAAAAGTGAGCAAATGTTAAACAATGCGTGATAACTAATTTTATGTGGCCCATCATAAAGTCTCTCTCCCATCCTCGCTTTCCCCTCCCCCCAAGTTCAAAGAGCTTAATACGTTATAGCTGAAGTTGCTAAGGTCAAATTGATTAAATCCATAAAAGCTGTTTTTATGATGATGCCTAAAAGGATACAGTACAGAAATCTTTCCCAATACTACTACTACTGTGAACTCGGACCATTTTCACGTACTTAATAAAGTTTCTAACTTTTTTAATTATAATATTAAAATTTGGTTCTCATGGCTTTTGGTTCTTTAACTGTCGACAGTTAATATGCTTATTTTTATTTTTGGGTGTTTATTTTACTATGAAGTTGGTGTGCTACAGTCAAGAAATATATGTTCCTTATATTGCTTAATCTTATTACTCATGTAGTAGTAGTAATAATAAGCATCAGTAGGAGAGGGTGTGTTGAGTAAGCTCAGCAGATGCTTCGAAACCAGAGAAGGTAGTAGATTATTATCATTTGTAGTAATTTGTAACTTATTATATTCTCTTGCGTTGCCTTAAATGCAGATGTAATTTTTTTATAAAACACGGACCACCGAAATAATTTTTAAGAACTTGCAATACATCTTATTATCTCATATGAGAGTAAATGCAAGCGGAAGACGCAAAGTGCATTGTTAAGACCCAAGAACGTAAGGTTCTCCAAATGTAATAAGCACCCGCAATTAAATTTTTAAAAGCTAATGTAGTGAGAAACAAAAAATAAACAAAAATGGTTGAAAGATACAAAAAAGATCTTAGAACAAGATATGGCACAACCAAATTAAGCTATGCACTGACGAGAATAGATTTTATAACTAAGAGCTTAAAATAAAATAGAACTAAAAAATAGAAATAGCGGATAAAGAGATAGCCTAAAGAAGGAGTAAGTGAAGGGCTCTTTAATATGAAGCAGAACCTAACTTTATGTGGTAAGCCTTAGGCAGCTGTTCACGTGTTAAATGCAGAAGTAACTACGGACTGTTAAGAAAACTCATTGGCCGCAACCCGGCGACCCCCTTTAGAACTGGTCAGCGTACTTCGTAAGAGAAAAGTTGTTGGCTATGAGTGTCAAAAGTGAATTTTGAAGATAGCGTTGATAGTAGAAGGCAGTTTCGCTGTTCGGCTGAAAGTTAGTAAGACAAGAACTATATTTAAATTTATCTATTTTAAAAAGGCTAAATAAATCGTATAAAGTTCGAAGAAATTTTATTATTATTTGCATCCTTGTGCCTTACTTTTCCATTTAAGGGTTCAAGTATGGTAGCTTTACTATCATTTTAACACTTTCTTAACGTTCTCAGAAAACCTCGAGATCTGTTAAGTGAACTATTTTAAAACGCTGAATTATAATTTGAGGTTTGAGAGACTTATTTTGCAATCTTATAAACCAAGCCTTCTGCAGTTTTTGAGACGAGATAGTTAGCTTATGGATGACACTCTTTCAAGATGACAAAAAGTGGTCGTTTGTAATATGATGAAATGGGAAAACTTTCGGTTCTAATTCACTACTTTTACGAAGGTATGCTCGCTTAAGCGTCATGTTTAGGTGTTTAATAATGTATGAACATTGCCCGTTACATAAATCTTTTTTTGGGGCCACGTGAAGGCAGACCTCCATTAAAGGTGTACCTTTCATGAACTTACGTTTTCTCGGGGCCCTAAAAGCTTTGGGCCCTGGTTTGTTCTTCGCTTTCCTCTGAATTGTCTTCTTTCATTAGTGTTTACTTAATCTCTAGTAGGTTGATAAAATCTAAAATGTTTTTCATAAATATATTTTGATTAAGTTAAGCACGAAAGATACTCAAAAATATTATTTATTGCCGTATTTTTGAAAAAACCATTTATTTGACAGTTTATATACATAATGATACCAACTATAGATTCTCAAAGTGAACATGTTGTAAGCAAACTTCCAGAAAATAGTCATTCTACCTTGGATTGTAAAGAAATTGTTTCATCTGGCAACTGCTTCCATCCGACTATCATATTTCGCGAACTGGACATTAAAAAATACGCAGGTCAAAATTTTGGAGCCGCCTTGGCACTTGTTGGCGGAAAAATATACATTGTTTATGTCAAAAGAGCGCAATATATTAGGAGATCTTTAATCACTAATTCTAGCACTAGCGCTACCAACCCTTCTGTCCCTGTCGCTCCAAGATCTTTACTGTTGGATTTCGGTCCTCAAAATCGAATCTCATTCAGAGAAGCTAACAACATCATATCATCTGATTCTTATATTAACGTTCAAGGTTTTCATAATTTTTATAACAACGGCAGTGCAGATAGCTTAGATAATTGTTTTAGTTCAGTTAACCCTTGCTTGCCTATATGTTCCTCATCTTCAAACTTTGTTAACAATTCAGACAATATTAATTCTAACTATGCTAGTTTTTCTATTCCTGCTTGCAGTGCAATACAGAACAGTGCAATACAGAACAATTATAACTTGAATTTCTTCAGTAGTGACCAGCAGCAAAGTATTTGTGTTTCTAGGAATACGAACAGTAATGCCGAAATTTTGGTCGAGAGGTTAAGCGAAATTAATCAGCAAAGTTTTTTGGATCCTTTTAATGTACATTTAAATTCTAGACAAGGCTATTTTCAACCTACCGAGAACTATTTAGTAAATCATAATCTTTTGGCTAACCAAAAATGTATCTCTGAAGCTTTTATGGTGGGTTCTTTTAATCCTGTGCTGAACCAGAACGAAGTCCTCGAGGGTTTTGTCTATCGAGAAACTCCGGCTTTTAAAGCTGGGCTTTCTTTCGGTGATAGACTCATATCAGTAAATACGTACGAGGCCAATACTTATTCCGTAAGTAGCCTACAGGCCATCTTAAAAGAGAAGAGTAAACTTAAACTAAAAGTGGAAGATTGTAAGTATGTTACTTTGCAACACGAGAGATCTCAACCACCTCACTGGAATCCGAATTTTTTTTATCAACAAAGTCATAATATTGGCCGTAGCCACGAACATTACGCCAAATTTCATTCAGTAAAGTCCGAAACTATAAAAAAACCAGACTTTTTTAAAGACACTGGGATCTTAGAATATAACAACAACCAAATAATTAAAATTAAGTTAAATAGTATCGCCTTTAAGAACAATTTGTTAGTAGGAGAAAGAATTGTGGGGATTAATGGTAAGAGCTTATTAACCTGTTCTACTGAAGAAGTTAAGCGTATATGCACAAGAACTTGGAAGAAGACCGACGTTTGCCTTTCAATTTTACCAGCTAACTTATGCCAAGTTTTATTAAATTGTCTGAAAGAGATGAACGTTGCAGAGCATGATATTAGGAATATTTTATTTACTGATAGTCAAAGAAATCCGATTAACAATAATTTTAGAGGTTTTAGTTATTCCTATAATAGTGGTAACATGATGTCTAAACTTCCTATCACTTCTATTTCTGAAGTGCTTCCTGCTAACCCCATCCAACTTGAACGTAAAAATGAATTAGAGAGCGACATAGAGAAAGCAAAAGAACATTGGGCAAGCAAAAGTCAGGAGAGAGGAAGCGAAAAACCTTTTCCTGCCCTAAAAAAAAATAATCTTTTTAGACAACTCATTAACCCTAAAAAAAGGCGGCCTGGAACGGATAAGAACTAGCTTTCTTGACTTACGCTATACCTTTCTGCACTGCCGAAGAAAAGCATACCAAGTTCTCGTCATCACTCTTTACTTAGTGTAATAAGGGCAACAGTAAAAACTATAAGTATTTGTATTTTCTTATGAAGACAATATTTAAAACTTCATGTTTCATAAATCAAGAACTTTCTTAGAAGACAAAAATCAACTTTACTTGAATAGTGAGCTATCGCAGATAAAGTGTAACTAGTTCGTTAAAAAAATTGTTCACCTCTTTAGAATATTTTATTATTTTAATATTTATCTTCGTATACGCAATTAATTTTTATTAGAAACAAAAATAAAGCTATATTGTCTGGGCTTATCTTATTAACTTAAGTTAAAAAAATTTAAAATACAATACCTGCAATAATTATATAGTTAAAAGTTAATACGTTCCTATCTAACTTCCTAAACATAATATGGTTTTAGAAGGAGTTATTTAAGTATTTTTAAAAAGAACGCTAGCGCAGTACTCCATATAACCCGAAAATTTCAGTTGCACTGCGGCTCCAGAAATACTAAATTTATTTATATATAGTTGAGAATTCCTGGAGCTCGATCGAGTCAAAATACTTCGAATACTCGAGCTCTCAATTTGAAATGTCGCAAACTATTTCAAAATAGCTTTCAATCGATAGTGTCATTATTTTCTTGAAATTAACAAACAAAAATTAGCGCTTACACGCGTTATGTGGGTGGCGATTACGAGCCCCGCCCCAGGACTCGTAGGTCCAAGCAGCGAACGCGTATGTCCATATTAGCTGGATGTAAGACATATACAATTGCCGTTTGTTTCGCAGAGAAAGCTAGCTCTTACCGCATAGTAAACGTTAAAGCGCTTTAGTGGCTGCATTGATCTTCACCGCTAGATAGTCCACGTGCGCCTTCCAGGCAAAATTGTAGTCACTGATGACTCTCAAGTATCTCGCATGAGAACGCCACGAAAGCTTAACGCCAACTGAGGGTCGTGTTTCTTAGTAATTATAAAAACGCTTTGCTCTTCATCGCATTTATAGAAAACTTCCCAATTACGGCACCAGTTAGCAAGAGCGTCAAGAGAGCGCTGCAGATTCTTGCATAACAAGGCTAGAAACTTCGAATGACGAGCAAAAGGGTTTTGTAGCCGGGCTTAAAAAAAATTCGTGGATTTGATGGCAAGGTCACGTCGCTTATATCAATTGCAAATAATAGGGTCGA